AACAACAACAACAACAATAATGTCAATAATAATAATGTCAATAATAATAATGTCAATATTATTATTATTATTATTATTATTATTATTAATAATAATAATAATAATAATAGGCATCCTAGGGTCGGAGGGACCCCCAAGGGCCATCCAGTCCAACCCACTTTGGCCATTCAGGAAAAGCACAATCTGATCCCTCCCGACAGATGGCCATCCAGCCATAGATGTGATGGATAGACACACTATATTCTATGGTATCTCTATCACAGAATCCTCAAGCTGGAAGGGACTCCCAAGGGCCATCCAGTCCAATCCCCTTTGGCCATGCAGGAAAAGGGCAATCCAATCCCTCCCGACAGATGGCCATCCAGCCATAGATGTGATGGATACACAGTATATTCTATGACATCTCTATAATAGAATCCTCAATTTGGAAGGGACCCCCAAGGGCCATCTAGCCCAATCCCCTTCGGATATGCAGGAAAAGCACAATCTGATCCCTCCCAATAGATGGCCATCCAGCCATAGATGTGATGGATAGACACACTATATTCTATGATATATCTATTATATCTATCAAGTTGGAAGGGATCCCCAAAGGCCATCTAGTCCAATCCCCTTTGGCCATTCAGGAAAAGCACAATCGATCCCTCTCAACAGATGGCCATCCAGCCATAGATGTGATGGATAGACACACTATATTCTATGACATCTCTATCATAGAATCCTCAAGTTGGAAGGGACCCCAAAGGGCCATCCAGTCCAACCTCCTTTGGCCATGCAGGAAAAGCACAATCCGATCCCTCTCAACAGATGGCCATCCAGCTATAGATGTGATGGGTAGACACACTATATTCTATGACATATCTATCATATCTATCAAGTTGGAAGGGATCCCCAAGGGCCATCCAATCCAACCCCCTTCGGCCATTCAGGAAAAGCACAATCCGATCCTTCCCGACAGATGGCCATTGAAGCTCTGCTAATAATAATAATAATAATAGTAGTAATAGTAATAATAATAACAAAGCATAGTGTTGGAAGTGACGCCCAAGGGCCATCTAGTCCAATCCCCTTCGGCCATGCAGGAAAAGGGCAATCTGATCCCTCCCAACAGATGGCCATCCAGCCATAAATGTGATGGATGACATATCTATCATATCTATCATATCTATCAAGTTGGAAGGGATCCCCAAGGGCCATCCAGTCCAATCCCCTTCGGCCATGCAGGAAAAGCACTATCCGATCCTTCCTGACAGATGGCCATCCAGCCATAGAGGTGATAGATAGGGAGATAGAAAGATAGATAAACACATGATATCCATCACAGAATCGTCAAGTCGTATGGGACCCCACACTATCCGATCCCTCCCAAGAGATGGCCATCCAGCCATAGATGTGATAGGTAGGCACACTATATGATAGCTCTGTCATAGAATCGTCAAGTTGGAAGGAGTTCCAAGGGCCATCCAGTCCAACCCTCTTCAGCCAGGCAAGAAAAGCACTACCCGATCCCTCCCAACAGATGGCCATCCAGCCATAAGGATGTCAGATAGATACAGTAGATAGATATAGCTACACACACTATATCAGATAGATACAGTAGACAGATATAGCTACACACACTATATCCATCATAAGAGACCTCAAGTTGTATGAGGGTCCACACTATCCGATCCCTCCTGACAGATGGCCATCCAGCCTGTGTTCCAACACTTCCGTAGAATTCTATTTTTATTTATTCACTTATTTACAACATTTCTAGAATCCTAGAGTTGGAAGGAACCCCAACGGCTGTCCAGTCCAGCCTCCTTCGGTCAGTCAGGAAACCTTCCCGACAGATGGCCATTCAGCCTGTGTTTAAGCACTTCCCTAGAAACCTAGAGTTGGAAGGGAGTCAGCCAGGAAACCCTCCCGACAGATGGCCATTCAGCCTATGTTTAAGCACTTCCCTAGAATTGGATGGGACCACCCTCAAGGGCCAACCCCACGCCATTCGATCCCTCCCAACAGATGGCCATCAGGAAGTCTCTTTTCCTGCCGTTTGGATCCATAACTCCATGGTGTCCCAGTCTTTTAAGCAGACCTCCTTTCTCGTATTGAAACCGGCCTCCCCTCTGTCCCATTCTCTCGGCTTACCTGGCTCCTTCCTCGCTTGCTTCTCTCTCCTGGCCTCACCTGGCCAGGTAACCCTGACCTGGCCTCACCTGGGCATTGAGCCCCTCCTCCTTCTCCATGGCGACGGGAAGCCAATGCCCAAAGTGATGATGGTGATGATGATGGAGGTGAGGACAAGGTTGCTAAGAGACAGCAGCCATTGTCTTGGTGGAGCAAAACATTGCCAAAGTCAAAGGGCCCAGTATTTACATATCATTATCTACATTATTTACATATAATGCAAGGCGAACTAAGGCTTTCACCTAAGCAGCTTGGCATTTCAATAAAGAGATGAAAGCGGCATAATAATAATAATAATAATAATAATAATAATAATAATAATAATGCGTCTGTCCCAATGTTTATCTAGAACTCTAAAGGGGTTTGCCCTCTAAAGTTCGGACTAAAACCCAAAGCGGATATTTCCCCACTAATAGTGTTATTGAGGAAGAATTTAGAACTGTCTGATTGGTTGGCACTCTACAGCTGGGGGGAGGCTTGGCCGCCTCCTGAGCGCCTTAACCAATGGGTGAACTCACGCCACTTCAGCCTCCTGGCCAATCAGGAGAGAAGGAGGCGGGACGAGAGGGAAACAATGAGAACTTGAGTGGATTATGGAAATATGTGGTATCTATGTGGTCGGCGAGTCCTCAGGGGGGCTTCTAGCCAGCCAGCCTATTGTCTTTGATGGATGGCAATAAATGCTGATATCTGGCGAGGTGGCCAGGATCCGGTTTTTTCTTGAACTGAGATATTTATTTATTATTTATTTACTTTATTTCTATATCACTTTTTTCAGCCCTCAGGCAAATCAAAGCGGTGAACAAAATCAATACAAAACATCACAAAACAAGTATAGGGCAATTAAAAACAATTATAACATAATTCATTAACATCAGTATAACAATCATTAGCGCCTAAATAGTAAAATCAGAATCCAGTCTCGTCATCCATTATTCCGTATTCCTATGTTCAATTACACCGTTTAATCAAATGCTTGTTTGAACAGCCAGGTCTTCACTTTCCTCCGAAACGCCAGCAGGGAGGGGGCCGATCTGATATCTGTAGGAAGGGCGTTCCACAGTTGAGGGGCCACCACTGAGAAGGCCCTGTCTCTCGTCCCCACCAAGCGTGCCTGTGATAGAGAGCAGGGCCTCCCCAGATGATCTTAGTGTCCTAGTCGGTTCATAGGAGTCACAGTCTGGTTTCAGGTCTGGTCACGGCACCGAGACGGCCTTGGTCGTCTTGGTGGATGACCTCCGTAGAGAGCTGGACAAGGGGAGTGTGACCCTCCTGGTTCTCTTGGACATCTCAGCGGCTTTCGATACCATCGATCATGGTATCCTTCTGGGACTACTCTCTGGGATGGGCCTCGGGGGGGCATGGTTATGTCGTGGCTCTGGTCCTTCCTGGAGGGTCGACCCAGATGGTGAAGCTGGGAGACGCCTGCTCGGACCCCTGGCCTTTGACCTGTGGGGTCCCGCAAGGCTCCATTCTGTCTCCCATGCTTTTTAACATCTACATGAAACCGCTGGGAGAGGTCATCCGGAGTTTTGGAGTTGTGTGCCATCTCTACGCAGATGACACACAACTCTACTACTCATTTCCACCTAATTCCAAGGAAGCCCCTCGAGTGTTGGACGAGTGCCTGGCCGCTGTGGCTATCTGGATGAGGAGGAACAAGCTGAAGATCAATCCCGACAAGACAGAGGTCCTCCTGGTCGATCGTAAACCTGACCGGGGTATAGGGTGGCAACCTGTGTTGGACGGGGTTACACTCCCCCTGAAGCCACAGGTCCGCAGTTTGGGAGTCCTCTTGGATTCATTGCTTACGCTTGAGGCTCAGGCGTCGGCGGTGTCTGGGAGGGCCTTTGCACAATTGAGATTTATGCGCCAGCTGCGACCGTACCTTGCTGAGGTGGATCTGGCTGGGGTGGTTCATGACTTAGTCACCTCTAGATTAGATTACTGTAATGTGCTCTACGTGGGGCTGCCCTTGAAAACGGCTCAGAAATTCCAACTTGTCCAACGATCGGCGGCCAGGTTGTTAACTGGTGCTCCTTACAGAGAGAGGTCAACCCTCCTGTTTAAGGAGCTCCATTGGCTGCCGTTCATCTTCCGGTCCCAATTCAAGGTGCAGGTGCTCACCTACAAAGCCCTAAACGGTTTGGGACCTGCCTACCTGCGTGACCGCATCTCGTATATGAACCCACGTGCTCCCTCCGTTCATCCGGAGAGGCCCTGCTCACGATTCCACCTGCGTCGCAGGCTCGTTTGGTGGGGACGAGAGACAAGGCCTTCTCTGTGGTTGCCCCCTGACTTTGGAACACCCTCCCCAAAGACATTAGACGAGCACCCACGTTGGCAGTCTTCAGGAAGAACTTGTAGACCTGGCTATTCCAATGTGCCTTTCCGGAATAGGAAAACCCCAGCACTACGTCCCAGAAGCACTTTATCAGAGTTTAAGACTCTCTGCACATTGCAATTGCCCAGAACCCCAACATACCACCTCTCACACCCAGCACTTTTTAACCTGTACCCGTCATTGGCCCGGCCCTGGTTTTATTGCGTAATGATGTAATGTTCTGTTTTGTTATTGCTTATGTTTTAATTTGCTTTGATTTGTATTGTTATTGTCTGTTGTTGTTGTGTTGAGGCCTTGGCCTTTGTTAACCGCATCGAGTCCTTCGGGAGATGCTAGCGGGGTACAAATAAAGTTTAATAATAATAATAATAATAGGAGGAGATATGGAGACAATGGGATAATCCTGGCTGTAGTTTTGATGGATGGAAGATAACAGATCAGGACCAAGTGTGGCTTTCCGAAGGCCCTTTTGCCCTGTTGAGATATGATCATCAATGCCAAGTGGGCACCACCCGCTGAGGCGACTGACTCCGAGCCCCAGGGTTACAGCCATTGTATTATTCATGCAAATCAGTCTTTTGATAAGGTTCTTTTCAACAAAGGATTTCCTTCTTTCCAGGGTCACAGAGAGTGGCTTCTTATATTTTTATACATTTTTTTAATAAAAGGGAATAGGGCAGAAGGATCAAGTGAAGGTCAGGTATACAGGGAGAAATATAGAAATCATTGTGTAGAAAACATACCCACTTATCCCTCCCACCACAGAAGTTCAAGAGAGTACATAATAATAATAATAAATAATAATAAATGTGCTGCCTTCTGCTATCTATGGAACCTGGGGCATAAAACCTTGATTAAATGTACACACTATCTAACATGGGAAGGGTCCTTGTTGTTGTTAGTGTCTTGGCAAACTGACCAAGGCTTAACCCTTATTAGGTTCTTGTGGGTTTTTTCGGGCTATAAGGCCATGTTCTAGAGGCATTCTCTCCTGACGTTTCACCTGCATCTATGGCAAGCATCCTCAGAGGTAGTGAGGTCTGTTGGAAGTAGGAAAATGGGTTTATATATCTGTGGAATGGCTGGGGTGGGGCACAGAGCTCTTCTCTGCTGGAGCTAGGTGTGAATGTTTCAACTGACCACCTTCATTAGCATTTGAAGGCCTGGCTGAGCCTGGGAAAATCTGTTGAGAGGTGTTAAGATGTGCCTGGTTGTTTCCTCTCTGCTGTTTTGCTGTTGTAGTTTTAGAGTTTTTTAATACTGGTAGCCAGATTTGTTCATTTTCATGTTCTCTTCCTTTCTGTTGAAATTGTCCACATGCTTGTGGATTTCAATGGCTTCTCTGTGTAGTCTGACATGGTGGTTGTTGGTGTGGTCCAGCATTTCTGTGTTCTCAAATAATCTGCTGTGTCCAGGTTGGTTCATCAGGTGCTCTGCTATGGCTGACTTCTCTGGTGAAGTAGTCTGCAGTGCCTTTCATGTTCCTTGATTCGTGTTGGGCAATGCTGCGTTTGGTGGTCCCTATGTAGACTTGTCCACAGCTGCATGGTATACTGGTAGACTCCTGCAGAGGTGAGAGGATCCCTCTTGTCCTTTGCTGAACGTAGCATTTGTTGGATTTTCTTGGTGGGTTTGTAGATTGTTTGTATGTTGTGTTTCCTCATCAGCTTCCCTATGCGGTCAGTGGTTCCCTTGATGTCTGGCAGGAACACTTTTCCTCTGGGTGGATCTTGGTCTTGACTCTCGTGGCTTCTTCTCGGTGGTCTTGCAGCTCTCCTGATGTCTGAGGTGGAGTCTCCATTGGCCTGGAGAGCCCAGTTGAGGTGGTTTAGTCCATCTTGGAGGAGGTGGGCTTCGCAGATTCTTTTTGCATGGTCTGCCAAGGCTTTGATGGTGCTTCTTTTTTGACTTGGGTGATGGTTGGAGTTTTGATGTAGATCTCTATCTCTGTGTGTGGGTTTTCTGTAAACGGTGTGACCCAGTTGTTGATCTGGTTTGCGGATGACTAGGACATCTAGGAAAGGCAGTCTTCCTTCATTTTCTTTTTCCATGGTGAACTGGATGTTTGGGTGGATGCTGTTAAGATGGTCCAGGAACCTGTTGAGTTCTTCTTCTCCATGGCTCCAAATGGTGAAGGTGTCATCCACATCTCTGAACCATATGTGGGTGGATGCTGTTGAGATGGTCCAGGAACCTGTTGAGTTCTTCTTCTCCATGGCTCCAAATGGTGAAGGTGTCATCCACATCTCTGAACCATATGTTTGGGTGGATGCTGTTGAGATGGTCCAGGAACCTGTTGAGTTCTTCTTCTCCATGGCTCCAAATGGTGAAGGTGTCATCCACATCTCTGAACCATATGTTTGGGTGGATGCTGTTGAGATGGTCCAGGAACCTGTTGAGTTCTTCTTCTCCATGGCTCCAAAGGGTGAAGGTGTCATCCACATCTCTGAACCATATGTTTGGGTGGATGCTGTTGAGATGGTCCAGGAACCTGTTGAGTTCTTCTTCTCCATGGCTCCAAAGGGTGAAGGTGTCATCCACATCTCTGAACCATATGTTTGGGTGGATGCTGTTGAGATGGTCCAGGAACCTGTTGAGTTCTTCTCCATGGCTCCAAAGGGTGAAGGTGTCATCCACATCTCTGAACCATATGGTGGGCTTTTTGGTTGCTGTTTCAAGAGCTTGTTTTTCAACCCTTAACCCTTATTATCCAGTCTGGTGTCCTTGTCCTTAGCAAAACTATAAGTTACTATCTTTTATGGGGGGGGGGGCATGTTCGACTTCAGGTTCGCCTTTTGTTTCGTCGTGCATGCCCCGTATTGCGGCCTCCTTTGCAAAAGGCAAGATGCCCTGGCTGGCTGTCCTCCTCGGATTCAGAGCAACACAGTTTCCTCGTTAATCCAATTTGCAATTAGCCCCATCAGCTAATCCCTTTCCCAGCTTTCTGGGGCAGGAAGGGGGGGGGGCTGAGAGCACTTGTGCCAAGGGAGCCGAGGGAGAGCTGCTGTCCAAAGGAAACAAGGCGAGGGGCCACCACCGCTGCTCCTTCCCTTTTGGGTCCTTTGGGTGGAAGAGGCCCACCCAAGGAAGCCGGACCCTCCCATGGCTCTCTAGACCGGCTGATGGTAGGTTGGGTTTCTTCTCAGTTGGGTTGACATTGAAGTCTACCATGGCTTGGCATTGGTTGTGGCAGGGAGCGAGGGGGACCCACTCCCTATGGGGAGAAAGGCGGGATAGAAATAATAATAATAATAATAATAATAATAATAATAATAATAATAATAATAAGCTAGCAAACATGAGTAACTTTGGGAAGAAAGGCGGGCTAGAAATATAATAATAATAATAATAATAATAATAATAATAATAATAATAATAATAATAATATGTTGGCAACCATGAGTTCCTTTGGGGAGAAAAGTGGAATAGAATAATAATAATAATAATAATAATAATAATAATAATAATAATAATAATAAGTTAGCAACCATGAGTCCATTTGGGGAGAAAGGCGGGCTAGAAATATAATAATAATAATAATAATAATAATAATAATAATAATAATAATAATAATATGTTAGCAACCATGAATCCATTTGGGGAGAAAGGCGGGATAGAAATATAACAACAACAACAACAACAGCAACAACAACAACAATGTGTTAGCAACCATGAGTCCCTTTGGGGAGAAAGGTGGGATAGAATTATTATTATTATTATTATTATTATTATTATTATTATTATTATTATTATTATTATATTTCTGTCCCACCTTTCCCCCCAAAGGGACTCATGGTTGCTAACATGTTATTATTATAACAACAACAACAACAACAACAACAACATGTTAGCAACCATGAGTCCCTTTGGGGGGAAAGGTGGGATAGAAATATAACAACAACAACAACAACAACAACAACAACAACATGTTAGTAACCATGAGTCCCTTTGGCGAGAAAGGTGGGATGGAAATATTATTATTATCATTATTATTATTATTATTATTATTATTATTATTATTATTATTATTATTACGATGCCTGGTTGGGGTCCTCTTCCTTGGACTCCTTCATCCCTGGGATGGCAATTCTTTAAGGATGGAAACATTGAATGATTCTCCAAACGAGGAGAAAGAAGCCTCTTGTCTCCATAGGGAATCCATTCCACTCTTCGGTTGGGAAGCTCTTCCATCCTAATCCTTAAATCAGGTCGCTTTCCTTGTAATCTGAATCCATCGTTTTGTGTCCTAGTCCCTGACACAGCAGATTCTCCATAATATCCCTTCAGGTAGTTAATCGTGTCACCTCTCCGTCTTTTCTTCTGCAAGTTAAACATATTACGGAGCTCCCTGAGTTGCTCCTCGTGCCCGCCTTCCTCTTCAATTGTGTTGTTTTTTGTATTTATTGACCAATTTTAGTTCGATTCAACAAATAGAGAGGGCCTTTCTGCCTCTTCCTATGACAATGTCCTTGGCTTCCGTCCAGACTTCTTCTGGCTCCTCGTCAATTAGGCTTAATCGTGCAAATCCATTTTGTACCTTCAAACTCCACAGTGATATCCTCCAGGTTGTAATTTAGTGCCATTGTTGGCCTTGGTGTTCTTCTTTAGCTTTAATCTAAGCATTGCTACGAGGAATTCCTGGTCTGTGCCACAATCTGCACCGAGTCTTGTTTTTGCCGAGAAAACGGAGCTTTTCCATTTTCCCCTTCCAATTATGTTTGCAATCAGGGGACTTCGAGATCCAGATGTTTACATCTGGATCTCAAACTTCTAAAGCTGAGGAAGGCCCGTTCAGGGTCCTCGGGCTGATGGGGGGCCAGGCTATAGTTTGGAAAGAACCTATTTCTCTACACACGGCACATATCTTATTTGCACAATATTTAACACAAAGCGCAATGTAAACCAACATAAACTGACCAGTATTTCAATGGGAAGGCTGGGCCTGCTTTTGACTGACGAGAGAGTCGTTAATTACGATTGTGGTTGTCGTGTTGCAAAGGGGGTTTGCCTTCATCTTCATATGAGGCCGAGACAGTGTGACTTGGCTAAAGTCCTCCTTTCCTTTCTCCCCTCTCTCCCTCATTCCCTTTCTTCTCTTTCCCTCCCTCCCTTCCATCCTTCCTTCCTTCTTTTCCCTTTCTCCCTGACTTCATCACTTCCTTCCTTCCTTCCTTCCTTCCTTCCTTCCTTCCTTCCTTCCTTCTTTCCTTTTCCTCTTCCTCCCTCCCTCCCTCCCTCCCTCCCTCATTACCTTCTTTCCCTTTCTCTCTCCTTCCATCCTTCCTTCCTTCTTTTCCCACTCTCCCTGTCTTCATCACTTTCTTCTTTTCTCTCTCCTTCCTTCCTTCCTTTTCCTCTTCCTCCTTCCCTCATTACTTCTTTTCCACTTTCCTTCCTTCCTTCTTTCTTTTCTTCCCTTTTCCTCCCTCTCTCACTCCTTCTTTTCCTCTTCTTTCCTCTCTCCCTCCTTCCTTAATTCTTTTCTTTCTTTCTTCCTTCCTTCCTTCCTTCCTTCCTTCCTTCCTTCCTTCCCTTCCTCCCTTGCTTCTTTTTCTCTCTCTCCTTCCTTCCATGTTTCCATATTCCCTTCCTCTTTCCCAGTCTTCCCCTCTCATTCCCTTCCTTCCCTCCTTTTCTTTCTTCCCTCCTTTTTCTTCCTTCCTTCCTTCCTTCCTTCCTTCCTTCCTTAGTTTTCTCTCTCCTTCTTTCCATCCTACCTTCTTTCCTTTCCCTCTACCCCTCTCTCTGTCTTCCCTTATTCCCTTTCTTCTTCCCTTTCTTCCTTTTCTCTCTCCTTCCTCCCTTCTCCTCTTTCTCATTCCCTTCCTTCCTTTTCCTTCCTTCCTTCCTTCTTCTTTCATTCCTTCCTTTCTCCACTCCTTTCTTCCTTCCTTCCTTCCTTCCTTCCTTCCTTCCTTCCTTCCTTCCTTCCTTTCCCTCTGTCCCTCTCTCTGTTTTCCTCCCTTATTTCCTTTCTTCCTCCCTCTCTTCCTTTTCTCTCCTTCCTTCCTTTTGTTTCTTTCCCTCTTTGTCCCTCCCCCCTCCCTCCCTTTCTCTCTCTTCTCCTTCCTTCCTTCCTTCTTCTTCCTTCTTCCTCCTCTCATCTTCCTCCTCTTCCCCATCCCTTCTTCCTTCCTTCCTTTCCCTCTCCTCCCTCCCTCCTCCCTCCCTTTTCCCTTCTTCTTCCCTCTCTCTTTTTCTCCTCCTTCTTTTGTTTCTTTCTTTCCCTCTTTCTCCCTCCTCCCTCTCTTCCTCTCTCATTCCCTTCCTTCCGTCCTTCTTTTTCTCTCTCCTTCCTTCCTTCTCCTCTTTCTCCCTCCCTCCCTTCCTTCCTTCCTTCCTTTCCCTCTGTCTCCTTCCATGTCCCCCTCCCTCATTCTCTTCCTTCCTCCCTCCCTCCCTTCCTTTCTCCCACTGTGATGTGTGCCGAGGGGCCAACATGAAGGGAATGGTGGTGTTGTGAAGGGGATACTGGTGGTCCAGGAATGGCGTTGGGGGCTGGACAAATGGCCTTGGTGGGCCGCATCCGTCCCGTGGGCCGTTGTTTGCGTACTCCTGGTTTCTATGTTCTGTTTACAGTTTTGCTCTGCCTTCTCCCTTTCCGTCACTGCGCTCTGTCCAGCTCCAGACTCTCCCTTTCGCCCCTGAGGCGGTCAGCAGCTGAATGTCCATCTGGCTCCGGACCAGCGGCATCATGGGCCCTGTTGAGCAGCAGCGGCTGGTGAGTCCAAGGCCGGGGCTTCGGCCACAACTCCTTCACACTCTGCGGTATCTTCCCAAATAGCTGGCGCAGCCTGGGCTGCATCTGCACTGTCGAATTAATGCAGTTTGGCACCCCCTTCACTGCCAAGGCTTAGTGCTATGGCACCCAGGGACTTGTAGCTGGGCACAGAAGACTTTGTAAAACTAGACCTCTCAGGATTCCATAGCACTGAGCCACGGCAGCCCAAGTGGTCTCAAACTGCATTCGTTCTGTAGTGCAGACGCACTCTTGGGGAGCTTTCTTAAAGTTTAGCCCAAACACACTGTTTGTGTTTCATTACGTTATTAACGTTATTGTGTTTCATTACGTTATTCAGTACGTATTTTTAATGGCATTGCATTGGTTTTGTGCTGACACGCGTTGGGCCTATAGCAATTCTCTTTTAAAACAGGACGTGCAGGACGCCGGGGTGCCTCGGCTGAGAGGCCCTATGGATTTTCCTAAACAAAGTCTTTAGAAACTTGGAAAGTTTAACAAAGTTCTTTATTATTGCTTAGATCTCCAACAAAACACACAAATTCTTCTTAACTTGCCCACAAAGGACAGGCAGCTTGCTTTATGAACTATTTCTTTTACAAGGAAAACCCTCCGAACTCTCTCCATTTAGGCTGGCTGGCATGGGGCCTTACTCCTGGTTCCAATTTGCTTTTTGGGTACCCGAGTAAACCTTACAGGCCAAAACTTTGTAGATTTTCCAGCTGGAGACCTTTGGATCTGTAAAACTGTTTTCTTCAGAAGCTTTAGGGCTGTCTTCCCCAGAGGCTTGTAGAGCTATGAGGCTGTAAGTTCCCCAGCCAGAGTGTGCTGGTACGGCTGTACCAGGAGCTCCTACTTCTTTTTCTTTCTGTTGAGTGTTGCACGTATTCCAAGGTTCCATGCATTTTGCAATAAGGCGGTTTCCCTTGCTCTGCAATTATAGGGCCAATGACCCATCAATCATCATTATGTTCTTTAGTTCCGCCCCTTTCCCCAGGGCTCTGGGAGGGAAAAGAAAGACTTCAGGCAGACTTTCAATTTTGGAAGCCCCGTTACAGGATGTAAGCTTTCCCCACCTGTAGACAAGCTTCGTTTCTCACAACCCTAAAGCTTCTAAGGAAAACAGTTGGGGTTAAAGATACAGATTCACATCATTTGTGGACAAAATCCAAAAGGAGTCCAGCTGGAAAATCTACAAAGTCTTAGCTGCTAGGTCTACTCGGGTAACCAGAAGCCATTGGAGCCGGGAGTAGGGCCCACACCAGCAGAGCCTAGAAAACAGATTGCCCGGGAGGGGTCAAAAAGGGTTTTCCTTGTTAAAGAAAGAAATAGTTCTCCAAGCAAGGTGCCCACCAGTCGATTCAAAGCATTTGTTTAATTTGTTGAAGATCTAAGAAGTATTTGATTGTTTGTTGAAGACTTAAGCAATAATACAGGACTTTGTTAAACTTTTCCAGCTTCTAAAGACTCTGTATAGGAAAATCCTTAGGGCCTCTCACTCAAGGCACCCCGGCTTCCCGCTGGGCACAAAGAGCACGACTTGTTCAAAAGCCAATTGCTATAGGCCCAGTGCGTGACAGCACACAGAGCGTTGAGAAGTGTCTTCCCCAAAAGCTTTGGGACTATTTTCCCCCGGAGCTTTGTAAGAAACGGAGCTTCTCTACAGGTGGGAAAAGCTCTCACGTCCTGTAACTGAGCTTCCAAACTGTAAGACTGAACTAAAAAAATTCTTTTCCCTCCCTTCCTTTTATTCTTTCTCCTTCCTTCCTTCTCCTTTCTCCCTTCCCTCCCTCCTTGTTTTCCTCCTTTGTTCCCTGGTTTCCTTCCTTTCCCTATTTCTCTCTCCTTCCTCCCTAGCTTCCTTTTCTCTCTCTCCTTCCTTCCATGCTTCCATATTCCCTTCCTCCTTCCCAGTCTTCCTCTCTCATTCCCTTCCTTCCATCCTTTTCTTTCTTCCCTCCTTTTTCTTCCTTCCTTCCTTCTTTCCCTCCTTCCTTCCTTAGTTTTCTCTCTCCTTCTTTCCATCCTACCTTCCTTCCTTTTCCTTGCCCTCCTCCCTGTCTTCTTCCCTTATTCCCTTTCTTTTTCCCTTTCTTTTTCCCTCTCTTCCTTTTCTTTCTTTCTTTCCTTCCTTCCTTCCTTCCTTTTGTTTCTTTCTATCTCTCTTTCTCCTCCCTCCCTCTCTTCCTCCCTTATTCCCTTTCTTCTTCCCTCTCTTCCTTTTCCTTCCTTCCTTCCTTCCTTTTGTTTCTTTCTCTCACTCTTTCTCCTCCCTCCCTCTCTTCCTCCCTTATTCCCTTTCTTCTTCCCTCTCTTCCTTTTCCTTCCTTCCTTTTGTTTCTTTCTCTCTCTATCTCTCTTTCTCCTCCCTCCCTCCCTCTCTTCCTCCCTTATTCCCTTTCTTCTCCCCTCTCTTCCTTTTCCTTCCTTCCTTTTGTTTCTTTCTCTCTCTATCTCTCTTTCTCCTCCCTCCCTCCCTCTCTTCCTCCCTTATTCCCTTTCTTCTCCCCTCTCTTCCTTTTCCTTCCTTCCTTCCTTCCTTTTGTTTCTTTCTCTCTCTATCTCTCTTTCTCCTTCCTTCCTCCCTCTCTTCCTCCCTTATTCCCTTTCTTCTTCCTTCTCTTCCTTTTCCTTCCTTCCTTCCCTTTCTTTCTTTCTTTCTTTCTTTCTTTCTTGCTCTCTTTCTCCTTCCTTCCTCCCTTTCTTCCTCCCTTATTCCCTTTCTTCTTCCCTCTCTTCCTTTTGTTTCCTTCCTTCCTTTTGTTTCTTTCTCTCTCTCTTTCTCCTCCCTCCCTCCTTCTCTTCCTCCCTTATTCCCTTTCTTCTTCCCTCTCTTCCTTTTCCTTCCTTCCTTTTCTTTCTTTCTTTCTTTCTTTCTTTCCTTTCTTTCTCTTCCTTCTCCTCCTTTCTTTTGCCCTCTCTTCCTTTTCTCTCCTTCCTTCCTTCCTTCCTTCCTTCCTTCCTTCCTTCCTCCTGTTGGTCCTTCCTTTTCTCTCTCTCTTCCCCAGAACCCTGGGGAAAGGGGCGGAACTAAAGAACGTAACGATGATAGGCAGGTGGCTAGCCCTATGGCTGCCCTATGGGAAAAGCTCTCACGTCCTGTAACTGAGCTTCCAAACTGTAAGACTGAACTAAAAAACTTTCCTTTCCCTCCCAAAACCCTGGGGAAAGGGGCGGAACTAAAGAACTTAACAATGAAAGGCAGGTGGCTAGCGCTTCTCTACAGGTGGGAAAAGCTCTCATGTCCTGTAACTGAGCTTCTAAACTGTAAGACTGAACTAAAAACTTTCTTTTCCCTCCCAGAACCCTGAGGAAAGGGGCGGAACTAAAGAACTTAACGATGATAGGCAGGTGGCTGGCCCTATGGCTGCAGCCTGGAAGGAACCACCCAGCTGCAAAATGCATGGCCAAAACAAACACATGTACAGAAAGGAAATTAGGCGTCTGGTACAGCTGTACCAGCACAGGTTTTGTTGTGAGTTCCCTTTTTAGAGAGGAAAAAGCAGGATACAAACAAACAAACAAACAAACAAACAACAACAACAACCTCATGAAGCCATGTTTTTTGTTTGTCCCTGTTTACAAACCCAGTCGATTTCTTTTCCCAGTGACTTCCATTTCATGTACTGGGCAGGGAAGAGTTCTTAGCCAGCTCTCGAACGTGGCAAGGTAATACCTGGCTCAGGGCTATTTCTGTCTGCAGAGTGGCCGGTTGCTTATGTTAAGCTGCTAAGAAGCGAAGGCTTGCTGTGCATCGAAGGCAAGCCAGAGAAACCAGGTACCTCATGCCATGGAACTGGGTCTTTACTGGGAGCACCAGTGCTGCAAAGTGGGGTGAAATTCATCAGTAATGAGCCCCCTGAAATCAGAGGTGATTACTGTGGAAGGCTTTCATGGCCGAAATCACTGGTTTGTTGTAGGTTTTTTCGGGCTATATGGCCATGCTCTAGAGGCATTCTCTCCTGACGTTTTGCCTGCATCTATGGCAAGCATCCTCAGAGGTAGTGAGGTCTGTTGGAACTAGGAAAAAGGGTTTATATATCTGTGGAATGATGTCCAGGGTGGGACAAAGAACTCTTGTCTGCTGAAGCTAGGTGTGAATGTTTCAACTGACCACCTTGATTAGCATTTGATGTCCTGGCAGTGACTGGGGCAATCTTTTGTGGAGAGGTGATTAGATGTCCTTGTTTGTTTCCTCTCTGTTGTTGTGCTGTTGTAATTTTAGAGTTTTTTAAATACATTTTCATGGTTTCTTCCTTTCTGTTGAAATTGTCCACATGCTTGTGGATTTCAATGGCTTCTCTGTGTCGTCTGACATGGTGGTTGTGAGAGTGGTCCAGTATTAAAAAAAACTCTAAAATTACAACAGCAAAACAACAGACAGGAAACAATCAGGAACTTCTAATCAACTCTCAACAAAAGATTGCCCCAGGCACTAACAAGCCACACCAAGCAACTGCCAGGCCATCAAATGCTAATCAAGGTGGTCAGTTGAAACATTCACACCTAGCTCCAACAGACAAGAGTTCTTTACCCCATCCTGGTTGTGCCGTCGTGCCTGGGGCTATAGGTCTTAGTGAAAGATACATGGACGTGATATCCCTCCACAGGGGATTGCTTCTTGCCCTCCTTTAGGAAACTGGAACTCCCAAGGACCAAGACACAACAGGTAACTCGAAATGGTCTTTATTGTTCACAATGAGTTATCTTTCTTAGGCATAAACTTGATGATTCAACAGGGATAAAGAAAATATACGTTCCAGTCTCTGAAGTCTTGGGTCCAAGGAGTTTGCAGCTGAGAAGCTTCCCAAGTTGCCTCTTTTCTCAATGGCTGTGAATGCCTGAGCATCCACAACTCCAATCCAAACGGCCTATATTTGAAGGCACAAAGCCTTCCTCAAAGGGCTGGTTTGAAGGCGCTTGAGACTCCTCAACGTTGTCCAGGAAGATCTGGGCATGAAGTGTGAGTCTCAATGGAATTGGTGATGAGAGATTGCTTAAACAAGGGCTTTAGAGCCAAGTCTTTCTCACGTCCTGTCTGATGGTAGAATGAAAAGAAAGCCCTCCCTCTTCCCCAGGAAGGGGAGGAGCCAAACAATTAAGCGGGGGAGGCAATTCAACAGATGCAAGCAACATTGATAGAAAGCAGTAGATAGCCAAACAATTCAATTGTACATTCACATACAAGTGGGGCCTGACGCGCCGTCACACTGGTCATTCCACAGATATATAAACCTATTTCCTAGTTCCAACAAACCTCACTACCTCTGAGGATGCTTGCCATAGATGCAGGCGAAACGTCAGGAGAGAATGCCTGAAAAAACCTACAACAACCCAGAGGTGATTACGTTGCCAAACCCGAGGCATTGTTTATTTATTGACAGTATTGATATTCCGCCCTTCTCACCCTGCAGGGGACTCAGGACGGATGAAAATGCACATATACATCACAAACATTCAATGCCATTTAGACACACAACATATATAGACAGAGACAGAGAGGCTATTTAACTTCCCAGCTTCATGAGGGTATGCTTCACCGTCCACTTGTGGCACCGAAGGAGTACTTCCTCATTCTTTTGCATGCTGCTGGGGAGTTTTATGGCATTTTAAATTAGTTAAATAAGCCTCTCCACATAAGCGGTACCTAAATTTCCTACTTGCAAAGGTCGACAAATGGGCAGAAGCTCACTCTGAACTGGGTTAGCTTCGAAGTCATGACCTCTTGGACAGTTGTGATTTTAATGCAGCTGACTCCCAATCAGTTGCATCACAGCTGGTTCTGGGTTAAATACATAAGTTCTATTTAAGAAGAGCAAAATATCTACCTTGAGGAGAGAAAGAGAATTCCACCTGCTTTGCTTTGCTTTCCTTCTGCAGGGGGGTCGGATGCTGGGTTGGATTGAGAAGGTGGTGCCCCACCCCCCAGAAGCCTCTCCCGTCCAGGTCGTGGTAGAGAAGGAGCCGGAAAAGCCCTCCGCAGACACCAGGAGTTGGCTGGCCAGGCAGGTGAGTGGATGAGCAACCCTCTGGTAAGGCTAAGGCACTGACGCTGTGCGTTCGGACCTTAAATAGGAGCACCTGAGTGTTCAGGTCCTGAAAAAACTGGCAACAGGGAAAGTTTTCTGAATGCCACCTAGTGGTTATTTTAAGTATTGATACAAGTTAATAATAATAATAATAATAATAATAATAATAATAATAATAATATTAATAATAACTTTATTTATAGGCCATCCTTTGTATGTAACCTCAGAGCGGTTTACATACCAAAAGGCAGTCATTTAAAGCTATAGTCAACTAAAACACCCAAATCAAAACAATACAAAATAGCATCAATAAACTACAAGAGAAAATAGAAATAAAATTAAAAAAATGAATAATTACACTAAATTACACTAAAGACACATGTGCAATGTAACAAGCTTGTAGTTCAACGTAAGAAGCTGGCAACATGGAAAGTTTTCTGAACCCCACCTAGTGACTGTTTTAGGCATTGATTGATTGATTGATTGATTGATTTAAAACATTGGTATTCTGCCCTTCTCACTTCTCTACCTCCGAAGGGGGACTGGGGATGGCTTACATTTAGTAGTGGTACGATACCACTACATAAGAATTACAATCGTAAAATCAAAATTAAATACAAATGTGATTTTACTATTGTAATTCTTATGTAGCGGTATCGTAGCGTAGCGGTATTAAAAACAAATAGTAAACATTAACACAGTAAATGCAGTATTAGTTAAAACCATAAAACAATATCACAATATCCTCAGCCGTAACGTTAATCCAGCTACAGGGCCCCTTATGTCTGTTGCCCGGAAGCTTGGTCCCAAAACCAGGATTTTAATTTCTTCCTGAAGGCCAGGAGAAATGGGGTTGACCTTATCTCATTTGGGAGTGCGTTCCATAGGTGGGGGGCCATGGCCGAGAAGGCCCTGCCCCTCGTCCCCGCCAGACGCATTTGCGATGTTGACGGAAGCGAGAACAGGGCCTCCCCGGATGTTCTTAGATGATGAGGTGGGACGTAGTGGCAGATGCGTTCGGACAAGTAAGCTGGGCCAGAACCGAATAGAGCTAGTGGAAAGTTTTCATGCTATCTAGTGGCTGTTGTTGGCACTGGCACAATTTATTTATTTATTTATTTAAAACAATTATATTCCACCCTTCTCACCCCGAAGGGGACTCAGGGCAGAGCACAACATAGATACGGCAAACATTCAATGTCTGTAGTGCAACGTGACAAACTGACAACCATGAAAGTTTTCTGAATGCCACCTAGTGGCTGTTTTATGCATTGACACAGTTTATTTATGTATTTAAAACCTTTATATTCCACCCTTCTCACCCCAAAGGGGACTCACGGCAGAGCACAACATAGGTACGGCAAACATTCAATGTCTGTAGTGTAACGTGACAAGCCGACAACCACGAAGGTTTTCTGAATGCCACCTAATGCCTGTTTTAGGCATTGACACAGTTTATTTATGTATTTAAAACCTTTATATTCCGCCCTTCTCACCCCGAAGGGGACTCAGGGCAGAGCACAACATAGGTACGGCAAACATTCAATGTCTGTAGTGTAACGTGACAAGCCGACAACCACGAAGGTTTTCTGAATGCCACCTAATGCCTGTTTTAGGCATTGACACAGTTTATTTATGTATTTAAAACCTTTATATTCCGCCCTTCTCACCCCAAAGGGGACTCACAGCAGAGCACAACATAGGTACGGCAAACATTCAATGTCTGTAGTGTAACGTGACAAGCCGACAACCACGAAGGTTTTCTGAATGCCACCTAATGCCTGTTTTAGGCATTGACACAGTTTATTTATGTATTTAAAACCTTTATATTCCGCCCTTCTCACCCCGAAGGGGACTCAGGGCAGAGCACAACATAGGTACGGCAAACATTCAATGTCTATAGTGTAATGTGACAAGCTGACAACCATGAAAGTTTTCTGAATGCCATCTAGTGGCTGTTTTAGGCATTGACACAATTTATTTATTTATTTAAAACCTTTATATTCCACCCTTCTCACCCCAAAGGGGATTCAGGGCAGAGCACAACATAGATACGGCAAACATTCAATGTCTATAGTGTAATGTGACAAGCTGACAACCATGAAAGTTTTCTGAATGCCATCTAGTGGCTGTTTTAGGCATTGACACAATTTATTTATTTATTTAAAACCTTTATATTCCACCCTTCTCACCCCAAAGGGGATTCAGGGCAGAGCACAACATAGATACGGCAAACATTCAATGTCTATAGTGTAATGTGACAAGCTGACAACCATGAAAGTTTTCTGAATGCCATCTAGTGGCTGTTTTAGGCATTGACACGAGTTTGTAGTGTTGCGTAACGAACTGACAACCGGGAAAGTTTTCTGAATGCCGCCTTGTGAAGGTGCTGAAGGTGCTCTTCGATGCCCGACAGTCCTTCTGATGCTTCTTTTCTTTCTTTTTTCCATCCTCAAAGCTACCAGAACCGCAGCCGGGCAGACTAGCAGAAGGTAAGGTCCTGGGGAAGGGAGAGGGGGCGATTTGGGAGCCATTTGGCCAGTGTTTGTGAGATGGTTTCAGCCTTTTTGTCATGGAGAAGAAGGGTGCTTTCCACGATCCTCCTCCATTCCTTGTTGCTTTGAAGATGGCCTTTGTGCGCATGCAAAACATGCTCTCGCTCCACACAAGGCCAGGCTCAGGGCATTCACACAATAGCCATGGCTATGCTTTGGAGCCTCCATAAGGCCCACTGGCCCAGCAAATGGTAATAATCTGGTCCAGAAGTTATAATAATCTATGCAGTTAGATCTGCTTGCACAGATCTGCTTACCTTGACACAATCATATAGATTGTTCTAGATATCATCAGTATTATTATTATTATTATTATTATTATTATTATTATTATTATTGGCCAGTGGAGTGGATGTATAATGTCCAGGGCAGGAGAAAGAACCCTTGTCTGTTTGAAGCAATTGTGAATGTTGCAGTTAGCAATCTTGATTAGTATTGATTAGCCAGGAAGTTTGCAAAGTCAATCACTGAGGGGATCTGCATAGATGTAGCCTGGCCTCTGTTGCCTGGAGGCACCCTCTGTGGAATAATATCCAGGGTGGGAGAAAGGACCCTTGTCTGTTTGAAGCAATTGTGAATGTTGCAATTAGCAAGCTTGATTAGCATTGAGTAGCCATGAAGTTTGTAAAGTCAATCAGTGAGGGCATCTGCATTGAGTTGTTGTTGCCTGGAGGCACCCTGTGTGGAATAATGTCCAGGGTGGGAGAAAGAACCTTTGTCTCTTTGAAACAAGTGTGAATGTTGCAATTAGCAAGCGTGATGACTAGCATTGAGTAGCCTTGCAGCTGCAAAGTCAATCAGTGAGGGTATCTGCATAGAGGTAGCCTGGTTGTTGTTGCCTGGAGGCACCCTCTGTGGAATAATATCCACATATCCTCTGCATAGAGGTAGACTGGCAACAGAGGCCAGGCTACCTCTATGCAGAGACCCTCACTGATTGACTTTGCAAACTTCATGGCCACTCAATGCTAATCAAGCTTGCTAACTGCAACATTCACAGTTGCTTCCAACAGACAAGGCTTCTTTCTCCCACCCTGAACGCTATATATACACTCCTCTGCCCATTATGCATAAATGCAGGCAAAACGTCAGGAGAGAATGCTGCTGGAGGAACTTAATGGTGTTTGTGTCCATTCCAGGGAAGAAGCAAGAAGATTCCAATGAGTCCCAGGATTCTGGATCCACACCGAAAAGGTATTTTTTCGCCACGGATTTTATGCTTTTTGGGAGGTATCTATGAGAGTGTTGAAACGCAGGCTGTGTGGCCATCTGTCAGGAAGCATCGGATGGTGTCTTGGACCAGATGGCCCTTGAGTGTTCTCTTCCAACTCTAGGAGTGTTTTCATTGATCAGATTGTGTATCGGACTGGATGGCCCTTGGGAGTGTCTTACCCCTCTAGAATCATTTGGAAGTGGCTGGATGGCCATCTGTCAAGAGGGATCAGATTGTGTATCGGACTGGATGGCCCTTGGGAGTGTCTTACCCCTCTAGAATCATTTGGAAGTGGCTGGATGGCCATCTGTCAAGAGGGAKCAGATTGTGTATTGGACTAGGATGGCCCTTGGGAGTGTCTTACCCCTCTAGAATCATTTGGAAGTGGCTGGATGGCCATCTGTTGGGAGGGATCGGAGCGTGTCTCCCTGTATATAGAAGGGGGCTGGACTGGATGGCCTTTGGGGTTCCCTTCCATTGATCTGCTTCCTCTTTGCAGCCCTGGCCGGGCAGTGGTGGCCTGGATCTCTCAGGGCCTGGGGAGGGTCATCCCGCAGCCGGCCGTACAGGACGCACACCCCTCCCTCCAGGCCGTGGCCAAGAGCTTTGAGGCCAGCATGGACATCCAGGACGTGGTCAGTTTCCCATTATTATTATTAATTAATTAATTAATTAATTAATTAATATCCCAATTTATTCCATCTATTATTATTATTATTATTATTATTATTATTATTACTACTACTACTAGCCGTCCCCTGCCCCACATCGCTATGGACCAGTCTGTATATATGTGTTTTGTGTGTGTGTATATATGTCTTTAAATATTTGTGTATCTGTGTATATATGTGTGCTTGCATATATATATGTGTGTGTGTGTTTGTGTGTGAAGATGTGTATATATGTGTGCATATATTTGTGTGTTTATATGTGTATATGTATATTGTGTTTATGTGTGTGCTTGTCTATATGCAAATTTGTGTTTCTATATGTGTGCATGTATGTGTGCATGTGTATATTTGTGTGCGTGTGTATATGTATATATGTGTGTGTATGTAGATATGTGTGTGTATATTTGTGTGTGCTTGGGTATATATATATATATATATATATATATATATATATATATATACATACACATGTGTATGTATGTGTGCATGTGTATATGTACATGAGTGTGTGTGTGTGTATGTGTGTGTGTGTGTGTGTGTGTGTATATATATATATATATATGGCGTATTTTGGGTTTTTTTAAAGTCCATTCTGCTGGGTTTTGTTGTTGTTGTTTTTTGTAATAATAGGGGTGATGAACACTCATTGGTCTGTGTAGTGTCCAAATTTTGTGTCAATTTGTCCAGTGGTTTCTGAGTTATGTTAATCCCACAAACGAACATTACATTTTTATGTATATAGATTGTTGTTGTTGTTGTTGTTATCCCCTTTGCATGTTCAAATGTGTGATTACATTATTTATTTATTTATTAATAAATATCCCATTTTGTTCCACAATGTAGATGCACCCTAGACGTGATGATCCATAGGACAATCCCATCCATTATTATTATTATTATTATTATTATTATTATTATTATTATTATTATTGCTATTGTTATTGATATTATTATCTCCTTTGCATGCTCAAACGTGTGGTTTAATCCTACGGCTTTCGATCCCTGTCTTTTGCAGACCGAAGTCCAGGATCTGAACGACGGAGACGAGTTCGGATTCGGTAAGAGTTCTGGGCCTCTCTCTATAAGGTCTAGGTACTAAATCCATGCTTCTAAATGGTTCTAAAGTACTTTCAAAACTAAAATTCTGGTGGTGAAAATTTCAGAACTCTAACCAAACTTTCCAAATTTCAGTATAAATGGCAGTTCCTAATAGGTTCTGGCATAAAAATCACCAATAACAAAATAATAATGAAATTTGGAAAGTTGTGTTAGAGTTCTGAAATTTTCACCACCCCCATAACTTTAGCAAATTTCAGAACTCTAACCAAACTTTCAAAATTTCAGTATAAATGGCAGTTCCTAATAGGTTCTGTCATAAAAATAACCAATAATGAAATAATGAAATTTTGAAAATTGTGTTAGAGTTCTGAAATTTTCACCACCAGAACTTTATCAAATTTCAGAACCGTAACAAAACTTTCAAAATTTCATTATAACTGGCAATTCCTAATAGGTTTTGTCATAAAAATCACCAATAATGAAATAATAATGAAATTTGGAAAGTTGTGTTAGAGTTCTGAAATTTTCACCACCAGAATTTTAGTAAATTTCACAACTCTAACGAAACTTTCCAAATTTCATTATAAATGGCAGTTCCTAATAGGTTCTGTCATAAAAATCACCAATAACGAAATGATGATGAAATTTGGAAAGTTGTGTTAGAGTTCTGAAATTTTCATCACCAGAACTTTAGTAAATTTCACAACTCTAACGAAACTTTCAAAATTTCATTATAAATGACAGTTCCTAATAGGTTCTGTCATAAAAATCACCAATAACGAAATAATAATGAAATTTGGAAAGTTGTGTTAGAGTTCTGAAATTTTCACCACCACCAGAACTTTAGTAAATTTCAGAACTCTAACAAAACTTTCAAAATTCCATTATAAATGGCAGTTCCTAATAGGTTCTGTCATAAAAATCACCAATAATGAAACAATAATGACATTTTGAAAGTTGTGTTAGTTCTGAAATTTTCACCACCAGAACTTTAGCAAATTTCAGAACTCTAACAAAACTTCCAAAATTTCATTATAAATGGCAGTTCCTAATAGGTTGTGCCATAAAAATCACCAATAATGAAATACTAATGAAATTTGGAAAGTTGTGTTAGAGTTCTGAAGTTTTGACCACCAGAACTTTAGCAAATTTCAGAACCCTAACAAAATTTTCAAAATTTCATTATAAATGGCAGTTCCTAGTAGGTTCTGTCGTAAAAATCACAAATAATGAAATAATAATGAAATTTTGAAAGTTTTGTTAGAGTTCTGAAATTTTCAACACCAGAACTTTAGAAGCAAAGCACCAGCGCCCCCTAGTGTTCACCACCAGATCTTTAGTTTTGTAAGTACTTTAGAACAATTTAGAACAGTGGTTCTCAACCTTTCTAACACCGTGACCCCTAAATATGCTTCCTCGTGTTGTGGTGACCCCCAACCATAAAATTATTTTCGTTGCTCCTTTATAACTGTAATTTTGCTACTGTTACGAATCGTAATGTAAATATGTGATAGGCAGGGTGTGTTTTCATTGTTACAAATTCAACATAATAAAAGCATTGTGATTGTTGCAACTCAGGGTAGTTTCACCTTGCTCCCAAACACCACCACACCGGAGCTGTAGATTTTGTAGTTTATTGAGAAAAAAGATCCAAAGGTAAAAACACGAAGCATAATCCTTTAGGCAATGATCAAACAAGATTGTTAAACAATGAAACACAAGACCCAAAATCCCAGATTCAGGAAGCCAAAAGCGTGCTGCTTAACGCCAAGGTTAATCCATAGAAGTGTGCATGGAAAGAGCCACGTTGAACTGACAACTCCCATTTGTCAGCCAGAAGGCTAAATACCCTTTGCTAACATGAACGCATTGCGATGACCCTTGGCCGACTTGGCTTCTCGCTTACCAGTTAAGCGAGAGCTCTTCCGGACCCTGAATTCTAAGCATTCTTGCCTGCTCACTATCTTCAAGGCTCTCTTTATCTCGGTCCAGCTGGACTAGATCACCGTGGGAAGGCTGCGGAGGCGAAGACAACTCCACCTGGCCGTTATCTCTCCCACTGACATTCTTTTCCCCTGAGAACTGACTTGATGTTTCTCCTGCTGCACTGTCTGAGGCAGGCACCACAGAAATCTGAATCCCATCATCCTCTTCATCAGGGAACTCTGACTTGGAAAGCCTGGCTGTTTCCCTGGAACAGTTGTCGGCAGCCATTTTGAGAAGGCGGAGGGGGCAGGTCCAACCAAGATGCCTTCGCGACCCCCAGAAAATGGCCCAGCGACCCTCCTGGTGGTCGCGACCCCCATGTTGAGAACCGCTGATTTAGGAACCATGGATTGCACATGCCTAGTACTTATTTCTCAAGGTGTGCCGGGCAGGAATGAATGGCTGACCATTCCTTACCTTGTTGGCCTTTCCTTTCCAGAGGTGACCGACCTGGACAACGAGGACAACGAAGGAAACAACCTGCTGTCTGACTCCGATCAACATCCATTGGGACAAATGTAAATGCATCCCCAAATCTCATAGAAATGACCCAGAAATTGATATTATTGGTGACGATGATCCCTTTCTTTAGAGGCAGGAGATAGATGCATTTTTTCCATAACACGATTGTTGTTCCTGGATTATAATTACTATTATTTCCTAATTAGTTCTATCATAAACATATGGGAAAAGGTTATGAAACCACAATGTCTTTCATACCTGGAGTTTGGCTCACCTGCAGAACTTTGCATTCCAACAGACGAAAGCAGGATTGTCATAATTTTCACAATATTAATAATATTATAATTATATCATATTAATAATAATATAATTATTATCATATTGTATTATCATTATAATATAATAAAAATATAATTATAAGTACATTACAATAGTATAATATTATAATTATGATTTTTATATTTTAATAATGTTAATATTATTATATTATAATAATTACTAGCCGTCCCATGCCACGCGAATAATATTATAATTATAATTATATCGTATTATCGTGATAATATAATAAAAATATAGTTATAAATATATTACAATAATATTATATTATAATTATGATTTTTATATTTTAATAATATTAATATTATTATATGATAATAATTACTAGCCATCCCATGCCACATGAATATTATAATGATAATTATATCGTATTGTCATTATAATATAATAAAAATATAATTATAAGTATATTATAATAATATTATATTATAATTATGATTTTTATATTTTAATATTAATATTATTATATGATAATAATTACTAGCCATCCCATGCCACGCGAATAATATTAGAATTATAATTATATTGTATTATCGTGATAATATAATAAAATATAATTATAAATATATTACAATAATATTATATTATAATTATGATTTTTATATTTTAATAATATTAATATTATTATATGGTAATAATTACTAGCCGTCCCATGCCACGCGAATATTATAATTATAATTATATTGTATTGTCATTATAATATAATAAAAATATAATTATAAGTATATTACAATAATATTATATTATAATTATGATTTTTATATTTAAATAATATTAATATTATTATATGATAATAATTACTAGCCGTTCCATGCCATGCGAATAATATTATAATTATAATTATATTGTATTATCGTTATAATATAATAAAAATATAACTATAAGTATATTACAATAATATTATATTATAATTATGATTTTTATATTTTAATATTAATATTATTATATGATAATAATTACTAGCCGTCCCATGCCACGCGAATAATATTAGAATTATAATTATATTGTATTATCGTGATAATATAATAAAAATATAATTATAAATATATTACAATAATATTATATTATAATTATGATTTTTATATTTTAATAATATTAATATTATTATATGATAATAATTACTAGCCGTTCCATGCCACGCGAATATTATAATTATAATTATATTGTATTGTCATTATAATATAATAAAAATATAATTATAAGTATATTACAATAATATTATATTATAATTATGATTTTTATATTTTAATAATGTTAATATTATTATATTATAATAATTATTAGCCATCCCATGCCATGCGAATAATATTATAATTATAATTATATTGTATTATCATTATAATAAAAATATAATTATAAATATATTATAATAATATTATATTATAATTATGATTTTTATATTTTAATAATATTAATATTATTATATGATAATAATTATTAGCCGTCCCATGCCACGCGAATAATATTATAATTATAATTATATCGTATTATTGTGATAATATAATAAAATATAATTATAAATATATTACAATAATATTATATTATAATTATGATTTTTATATTTTAATAATATTAATATTATTATCATAATTACTAGCTGTCCCCTGCCACGCATTGCTGTGGCCCAGTCTGTGTATATGTGTTTTGTGTGTGTATATATTTGTGTATATGTGTATATATGTGGTTTTGTGTATTTTTTGCCTTTTAAAGTCTCTTCTGTTGTGTTTTTCAGTGTATTTATGAGTGATGGTCACTCGTTGGCTTGAGAGGTGTCGTGTGTCCAAATTTGGTGTCCATTCACCCAGTGGTTTTTGAGATATGTTAATCACACAAACGAACATTACATTTTTATTTATATAGATTAACAATATTTGTAATAGTGAAAGTGGCATCATCATAATAATTTCAATAATATTAATTATTATATTAGAATGATAATGATATTATAATAATTAGGCATGGTTCTAAATGGTTCTAAAGTACTTACAAAACTAAAGTTCTGGTGGTGAACACTAGGGGGTGCTGGTGCTTTGCTTCTACAGTGTTGCTAAAGTTCTGGTGGTAGAAATTTCAGAACTCTAACAAAACTTTCCAAATTTCATTATTATTTCATTATCGGTGATTTTTATGACATAACCTATTATGAACTGCCATTTAGAATGAAATTTTGAAAGAAAGACTAAAATACATAAAAGCCAGTTCGTCAAGATAAAATCATGTCCCACTCAGTCCACATATGTGGTAGATTAATTTAGTCACCGCCATCATTCTGGGAATGCCTCGTTCCATAGCCAGGATTTCACTAGCTTCCTGAAGGTCAGGAGGGAGGGGGCAGATCTAATGTCAATCGGGAGAGAGTTCCATAGCCGGGGGGCCACCACAGAAAAGGCCCTGTCTCTCGTCCCCACCAGACGTGATTGTGATGGTGGTGGGCCCCTCCAGAAGATCTTAACAGCCTTGATGGTTCATAGGGGAGAATACGTTCGGATAGGTAAACTGGGCCAGAAACGTATAGGGTTTTGTAGGTTAACAGCAGCACTTTGAATTGTGCTTGGAAGCTAATTGGCAGCTAGTGGAGCTGGCACAACAGAGGAGTTGTGCACTCCCTGTACCCTGCTGCCTGGCTGCCGAGCGTTGAACTCGTTGCAGCCTCTGGGCAGTCTTCATAGGCAACCCCACATAGAGAGCATTGCAGTAGTCTATACTAATTGAGAGCATTGCAGTAGTGTTGGCTTATATGTCCCTGAAATGAGATCTATGCTTCCTATTGTAAGGGATCACGGGTTTAGGGTGCGGGGTCCCTTTTTGAAGAAATCCACAGAGTCCAATTTGTTAATGAAAGACCCTATTTATTCAAGCTGATTAACATGAGACGGACAGACAGCACTTCTGTTTGTGCTTTCACAGACTACCGCACCCCCCCTCCGGCTTTTGTACACCATTATATACCCTCAAGTAAACAAGAATATTTTCATCATGGAAAGTATTTTGACCTTTATTCTTCCTGCTCCATCAACCTCTGGATGGAAGGTACCTTCTTGTACCTGCAGACTTTGTGCTTAACCACAACCTTTGGCTTAACCACAACCCAACTTCCTACGTAAGCTTGAACTTTGTGTGACCTCTACATGTCACATCTTGTTTCTTAAAAACATTTTCTTCCGTGCTGCTAATTTCATTTTAAAGCCCCTTGCTTAGCATTTGCTAATTTCACTCAAAGACCCTTTCACTATAGAGCCTCAAGGTAATTTTGTACACAACTAATATATACTTTGGTGCAGGAATCACTGGACAGATCGAACCACGTGAAAGCAAAGATGAACTGGATAATTTGGAAGCATTGTGGGAGCAAAGTGTTCTGTCCCCTTAAGACCCAACGTGTGTTATATAGGGTTGGTTTTCTAGCCTTTCCTTCTGCATCTATAGCCTCGTAATGCCTGATTCCTTCTCGTTTCTCTCTGCCAGTGGAGGGAAGAAGGTGCTGACTTGGCTGGCGCAAGGCTTTGAGAAAATCATGCCGCATCCAGGCTACACGGGATATGTGGAGGTAAGTGGCGGAAACACTGTCCAAAACACACGGACTGGGATGTCTTCCGTGCAGCCTCCCAGCTGTTGCAGTGTAGATGCGCCCTGTGTGAATGCTGGCCAGGAATTCACACAGGATTCAAGTTCTCAATGCGCTCTTCTCCCTTTCTCTTCCAGGAAGGGGATTCGGACTCAGAGGCCGGTGAGTACACACATCCTCTCCAAAGCAGACCTTCTCTCCAAAGACCCTTTTGCAAACTCTACAAACATTGCTTTTGTGGTGTTTGTAGATACCACAAAATTATAAATATATTACAATAATACAATATTATAATTATAATATTTTATTATATTGTCGAAGGCTTTCATGGCCGGAATCACTGGGTTGTTGTAGGTTTTTTCGGGCTATATGGCCATGTTCTAGAGGCATTCTCTCCTGACGTTTCGCCTGCATCTAGGGCAAGCATCCTCAGAGGTAGTGAGGTCTGTTGTAACTAGGAAAAAGGGTTTATATATCTGTGGAATGACCAGGGTGGGACAAAGGACTCTTGTCTGCTGGAGCTAGGTGTGAATGTTTCAACTGATTAGCATTTGATTGCCTGGCAGTGCCTGGAGCAATCTGCAAAAAAGCTAATCAAATGCTAATCAAGGTGGTCAGTTGAAACATTCACACCTAACTCCAGCAGACAAGAGTCCTTTTGAAACGGCAGGTAGAAGGTTTGAGGAAAAGAGACAAAGAGAGATCCTGAGAACTGAAAAGCACGGCTTTATTCTCGGTTGGCGCCAACCGGATATGGACCCTCCTGGTAAGCCAGGAAAGAAGGTGCGAGGAGGTGATCAGAATGGAGAGAAAGCACACGTGCTGTCGTGTGGCAGGAGAGTAGAGGGAGATTTATTGTTTATTTCTCTGAATTCTGCCACCAACTGGTATAGTGGAGGCCAATTGTTATATGTAATCTATGGTAACTGCCACCAACGTGAGATATGAGGTATTACTGTGAGATATGGCAATACAGACGCAGAATGGATGGAGATGAGACTGTCTTCAACAAAAGATAACTGGTTTATTGAGTACAAAGCGTGTGGTTGCAAGATTGTAACTTATTTTATAGAACTTTGAATAATACTTGGTTAGTTAAACATTTCACTCTTCCAGGTTACACAGTATCTTACTGAGGTGAAGCTCTTATTACTAAACAATGTTTCAGTACAGGAATATCTTCCCTATTTGATCTTTCCTTGATCAAATAAATTAACCAAGCTTATCCTTTAGCCTTTCCCTTGACTAAAGAAAACTGGCTATGTTTCTCCTTTCAGCCTCCTTAGACTGAGAAACCTCCAATAGCTATTCAGGCTTCCCAAAGCCACAATTCTTTGCTTCACACTTCACTCTCCCACTCTACTCTTCACTTCCACTCTTTTACTCCTCTCAGATACAAAATCAACTCCTAACTGACGCTCAAACCGTCCATTTTCAAAACTCTCTACACTTGGCTCCTCCCACTTCTCCTTCTGCCAACTTGCCTTGGTCTCCATGGTAACGCTGACTGAGGATCTCTGAAATAGGTTGCTCCAGTGTTACTGTAGCTAACCCAAACACATATATATACAGTTTAAAACATGCAAAGTATTAATAACTTCTGCACAGAAGGGTTCAGAACAAGGGAAATCCTTGGTTTATATACCTTTTAAAATAATTATGCATGCATCATACAGACATCACAATGTGCATCACAAAATTCTACTTTTACATTGACTTCAATCACATATTTTCAAACTCAACACCTTGTCAATCTTCATTAGCATCCCTATCTGAAGAGTTGCTATTAATGAGGACCATCGCCAGAATGTCGACTGGACCTTATAGCAAGAGTCTCCATCCATCTTAAGATAAGGTCTTCCTGAAACCTCTTAATGGCCACCTCATTAGTCTTACGATAAGGTGCCTGGTACCGAGATGGGGCCTCTTGAAATATGCCAGGCCTCTAGACATTCCTTTTCCTAGATGCTGGCCTCTCTAATTTTGCAGCTTTTAAGAAGTCAAGTGAAGTGAAGGCCATGCATACATACATACATTTCTCTTATATATTTTCAGGGATGGCTCGTCCATTACGCGAAGTAAGCGGTCACAGAACACTTTTTTGCCAGGGGTGCAGAGGCGCCTCTGTAAACACCCCTCGACCGCCACTTGAGGAGCGCCCCCTCCGCTCACAACAGCCCTAGCAGCCCGGGGGGAGCCTCGGCTTTCTTGCCTCGCTGCCGGGCGATCCTCTTCGCAAAGGGGCCGGGCCCTTGAGCCTCGCCACGCCCCTCTCGTTCCTGCTCCACCCGGCCACTGGGTGCGCGAGCAGAGCCGGCGCTCAATCGTTCTCCGCGTTCGATCCCTTCCCCATGACCGGCTCCCTTTCCCGATCCCCCGGCGCTCCACCCGCCTCCTCTCCCCTCCCCAATCCGCGGGTGGGCCAGGGGGCGGAGTCGCCGCGTCTGGCCCGCTTCGGGTCCGGAGGCGTGCCTGAAGACCCCAGCGTGCGCATCAAAAGTTGCCTCTTCTCCTGACTTTCTCTTCAGCCATTGGGACCAAGAGAGAGAGAGAGAGCGTCCCTCCGGCTGGAGGTATCTCCCACCTCCGCTCCCTCCTTTGTTTTTGCGCCTACCTTCAGGAAAGGTGGGCATCTCCACCTCTCTCTCTCTCTCTCTCTCGGTCCCAATGGCTGAGGAGAAAGTCAGGAGAAGAGGTGACTTTTGGTGCACACGCCGGGGTCTTCAGGCACGCCTCTGGACCCAAAGCTGGCCAGGCAATGGAGCAAGTGCGGCAAGTGTAGTTACTGGGATGTATAGTTCACCTACAATCAAAGTGCATTCTGAACTCCACCAATGATGAAATTGAACCAAATATGGCACACAGAACTCCCACGACAAACAGAAAATATATATCAATGATTGGTGGGGGGGGGGGGGCGCCAAAATACTGTTTGCTTACCTTTGAAAATTACTTAGGGCCACCTCTGTATATTTTCTAACTCCTATTTCTAATACGGTTACATCAAATATATATTTTCCAATATGTGAATTATGTATTTTCATCAAGCCTTCATCAACTTGTCCCACCCTGGTCATTCCACAGATATATAAACCCTACTTTCCTAGTTCCAACAGACCTCACTACCTCTGAGGATGCTTGCCATAGATGCAGGCGAAACGTGAGGAGAGAATGCCTCTAGACCATGGCCATATTTTGAAATATGTTGAAATGATTGCAAAATGTGGTATAGCAGGATGTCCCTTCCTTCTGCAAAGACAACCTTGGTCCAGTTTAGCAAACTTTCCCCATGTTTTAATGCTAGATCCAATTAGGAAATAGCACTGACCACCCAGGAACAAAAATGGTGTTGTTGTTGTTATTATTATTATTATTATTATTATTATTATTATTATTATTATTATTATCTCTTTGTACAGAGATGGCGGAGGAGCCCGGGGCCCCATTGCCAGGGAAGGACCCCTGCCCGTCCGCCTCTCCTTGCTCCGCGGGAGCCAAACACCGGACTTCCACGGCGAGCCAATCCAGCCTCAGCGTCTCCCTCTTTCCCAGGAGCCTCGGGGGCGATGGGGTCAGGTACCTATCTATATTAATATATGTATTAATCAATATTTTTATTAATATCAGCCTCCGATTTGAAAGGGCATTGATTTCCCAATCCTTTGCTTCTGAGACTTTTGCTCAGCCTGCCACCTAGTGGCTGTTGTAGGCATTGACGGGAACCCAAAGTTTTAAAAGTTAGGAAACAAAGAGATTGAAAATAAGAAGAATAGAATAGGCACACACAAAAGTGTCAAGAAGAAGAAAAAAGAAACATAGAGAGCAATTATAATTATGACTATTATTGTTATTATATTATTATTATTATTATTAGGGATCAAGTGGGATAGAGGGCTATTTGGCTAACTCTAATTATTGTTATTGTTATGGCTGTTGTTGTTATTATTATTATTATTAGGGATTGAGTGGGATTGAAGACTGTTTGGCCAACTACAATTATTGTTAATGTTATTGTTGTTATTGTTATTATTAAGGGCTATTTGGCCAACTGTAATTGTTATTGTTATTGCCGTTATTGTTGTTGTTGTTATTATTATTATTGAGTGGGATTGAAGACTATTTGGCCAACTACAATTATTGTTAATGTTATTGTTGTTATTGTTATTATTGAGGGCTATTTGGCCAACTGTAATTATTGTTATTGCTATTGTTGTTGCTGTTGCTGTTGCTATTATTATTATTATTATTATTATTATTATTATTATTATTATTATTAGGGATTGGGTAGGATAGAGAGCTATTTTGCCAACTATAATTATTGTTGTTGTTATTATTATTAGTGTGTTCGAATGGCTCTCTCAGGAACTGGAGAAAGTCATGCCGCACCCAGTCTCCAAAACGGACGAAAATGGACAGGTGAGGGACAGAAAAAGGTGTGTGTGTGTGTTTGTGTGTGTATGTCTATGGGCCTTATCTGTCTTTTGCAAGAGCAGCTAATGCAATCAGGGGTTCATGGAGTCCCCTTTCCTCTCGCAGCTGCCTGGGGGTGATGGGGAATGCAGTCGGGGGGGGGGGGGGGGGGGGGGATAGGATAGGACTCGCAAAGAGCATCTACACTGGAGAATAGATACAGTTTGGCACCACTTTAATTGCCATGGTTTCAGAATCCTGTACAGCACACCAGACTATTAATCGCTTTCTCTCTATATAAATATATCCAGACTATCTATCTATCTATCTATCTATCTATCCATCCATCATCTATCTATCTATCTATCTATCTATCTATCTACTCATCTATCCATACAACTATCCATCCTCCTATCTATCTATCTATCTATCTATCTATCTATCTATCTATCTATCTATCTCTCTCTCTGAAAGCATTGCATCCATCCATCTCTCTCTCTATCTACCTATCTATCTATCTATCTATCTATCTATCTATCTATCTATCCATCATCTGTCTATCTACTCATCTATCCATACAACTATCCATCCTTCTATCTGTCTGTCTATCTATCTATCTATCTATCTATCTATCTATCTATCTATCTATCTATCTATCTACTCATCCAAGCATCCTATCATCTATCTATCTATCTATCTATCTATCTATCTATCTATCTATCTATCTATCTATCTATCTATCTATCTATCTTTCTCTGTCCGTCCATCCATCCATCTATCTACTGCTGTATTTATCTCCCTCCCTCTCTAGCTCTCTCTTATTCTATCTATCTATCTATCTGGGGCTCCGTCGCCGTCGCCGAGACCGCGGCCTGGCCACACTATCGCCAGGGCCGCCACCCGGCGCTACCCGCTGCCGAGACCGCGGCCTGGCCACACCATCGCCAGGGCCGCCACCCGGCCATAACAACGCAGAGGCCACCATTTGACCGCCTAGCTAGATCACCGCAGCGGGCGGCGCTGCCTGGATCGCCCTCGCCTCCGTTGGTGCGGAGGTCGCGGCCGGAGACATCCTTCCCGCCCGGGAGCAGAGCAGAACGACGAACAGCGGCCAGAAACGTCCTCCCTGCCGAGAGTGGCGAGGAACGGTGAGCCGCCATTGCCGTGGAGCCGCGGGCGGAAACATCCTCCCCATCCGGGGGAGTAGGGCGAGCCGCTGCCGCTTGCCACAGCTGGAGCCGCGGCCGGAAACACTCTCCTCGCCCGGGAGTTGGGCAGAGTAACGAACGGCCACCTCTTGCCTGTTGGCTTCCATCACAGCCAGAGCGGCCGCTGCTGGGGTGGTCGCGGCCGCCTCGCGTTCGCCGCCTATTGCAGGGGCCGACATCACTACCATCATTATTGGGGCAAGACATCGCCTATTGCAGGAGTCGACATCACCACCATCGCTACCGAGGCAAGACATCGCCGCCACAGCAGCCGTCGGAGTGTAAGTCGGGGCCTGCGGGCCGCCATTTTGAGTGGCTCCCAATAAGACCATCGGGAAGGGCCTGGCTGCAACTGGGTGCGGCCTATGATAAAACCATCAACTGCGGCCTAGTAGTGACTAGGGCTCTCGACTGGCCAACTCTGCCATCTGCTGGCCTCTCCCGGCAAATGTGCTGATCAACCGGGTGAACTATCTAATTGTGCGGATCGTTTTTGTGCTGCCCGACTGCAACGCAAGCCGTGTGTAGACTTCTATCGGTGCTGAGCAATATTGTACCATCCGACCTTGCAACTCAAGCTGTGTGTAGACCAATTTGTGCTGACCAACCGCCGTGTTGACCATCCCCGGAAAGATCGAGAGACTCATTCGCTGTTTTCATCAGCCGTCCATCGACAACACCTTGAATCACAACAATCTTACCAATCTTACCAACCTCTTAATAGTGTGCTTACATATTACTAACATAATACGTTCTTTGTTTGCCTTTTGCTGCTAATTCGGTGTTAAGAACGTAAGATAGCACCAAGGCGCCTGCCTATTTGCTGCTAAACTGTACTAGCACTTACGCACCTTTTCCCTACCCTCTATGCCGCACTTTAGTTAGCGCTGAGAGCCAGATTTGGGTATCTGTTGCACTTTAAGATCTTTGCACTTTATGAATTTGCCTAACGGCATGCAGAGGTATTGCTGACTGTGTTGCACTTTAAGACTCTGCACCTTACGAACTTTCTAACTGTCGTGGCTGAAACGCTTAGCATCATCGAGATTATTACTATCCATGTGGTCCCCCAGCCCCCTGTTTGTGCTGTCCCTGCTATTAGTGACCATTGGAAGGGGCAAGGGAGGAAGTGGGCTGGAGCCTGTGAACAATAATGAGGCGGGGAGGGGGGAGGAAGGGAAGCAAGGGAGTTGGCAAGGGCCAACAAACCAAACATCTAGCGAAACAGATATTAAGACCTTGGTTTTGGACTGCGGCATGGAGGAGGGGAGGTGTTCCACTATCCGAGGGGCCCCCATAGAGGTCGTGGTGGGGAGGGGGAGATGCAGAAAAAGGAGACCTCAAATTCGGCCTAAATCGGACCGCTTACCAACATTAATAATCCCAAACCGGTTTCCTAAGGTAAATTGGTGTAACCAGGTGAGCGGGCCCTCTGGATTGAAAGTGGTGCTGTTGAACGCCAGATCTGTCAACGGAAAAACGACCTTTATCCAGGATCTAATCCTGGATGAGCGGGCAGATCTGGCGTGCATCACGGAGACCTGGTTGGATGAAGCTGGAGGCGTGAATCTAACCCAGCTTTGTCCTCCAGGCTTCTCCGTGCAGCACCAACCGAGATCCGGAGGACGGGGAGGCGGGGTCGCAGTGATCTATAGAGATTCCATCCATCTGACCAGGAGTCCCATCCCGCAGACCACAAATTTTGAATGCGTCCACCTGAGGGTGGGTGACCGGGACAGAATAGGGATTCTGTTAGTGTACCGTCCACCTCGCTGCACTACAGTCTCCCTACCTGAGCTAGCGGGGGTGGTCTCGAGCCTGGCGTTGGAGTCTTCACGGCTTCTTGTGCTGGGAGACTTCAATATCCACACCGAGGCGACCCTCACTGGAGCGGCTCAGGACTTCATGTTGGCCATGGCAACCATGGGGCTGTCCCAACAAATATCTGGCCCCACCCACTGTGCTGGACATACATTGGACTTGGTTTTCTGTCAGGGATGGGAGCAGGGTGGCGGTGTGGAGGAGTTGTCCATCTCTCCGTTGCCATGGACTGACCACTTCCTGATCAGATTTAGGCTCACTGCACCCCCTAACCTCCGCAAAGGTGGAGGACCCATTAAGATGGTCCGCCCCAGGAGGCTTATGGATCCAAACGGATTCCTGACGGCTCTTGGGGATTTTCCCGCCTCCTCGGTAGGTGACCATGTCGAGGCCTTGGTCGCTCTCTGGAATGGGGAGATGGCCAGGGCAATTGACGTGATCGCTCCGGAACGTCCCCTCTCAAGTAGCCGAGCTAAACCAGCTCCTTGGTTTACTGAGGAGCTGGCAGTGATGAAGCGAAGGAAGAGGGAACTAGAGAGCGTGTGGCGTTCGGACCCAAGCGAGTCAAACCGAGC